CTTACGCGTATACACGTAAAAAACAAGCAACTTTTTCTCTCTGTGTTCACTCATCCTTGATGGCCACAACCACAACTACACAGCATTCATTGGTCTTCACCATAGTCAGCAGCAGTGTACGGTTTTTGTACGGCTCAATCGTTAGCAGCAGCACCAGCACCAGCAACAGTTGCCATACCGATACCAAAGCCATCAACTGAGCAAAAGAGGACGTCTGATGATTGATTCATAGTCAGTAGACACTAGACACTTGGCTAGACCATACTCACAATTGCCAGGCATTGGCAAGCACCGAAGGCAATCGTCAAGCAGCAGCATTCTCGAGTGTCCTGAGTGTCCTAAGCTGAGCTGATAGTACCACTACCAAAATCAGTCTATTGCCTCTCTCTGGCTGGCTCTGGTTGCCCGTCGTTTCACTCTCTGGTTGATCATCACCACCATTAGCATCATCAGTAGTGGAGCTCACGTAAAAGCTCTCTTTCTACTACTTTTCCCTCTTTCACTCAACTGCACTTCCACTCCACTTTCCAATTTACCACTCTTTCTTTCTCTCTGTGCACCAATAAATACCTGACGTTGATTGAACAGAGGAGGAGGAAAGAGAAAAAGTAGTGAAAGAGCGCCTTCAATCACGACCAGAGAGAGCCGAAAGCATTCCACCACCACCACCGGTGATCATCATCAGCACCCCAGTCGATCGGTGTCTCTTCTTTCCACTTCTTTCTACCAAAGCAGTCCAAAACTTCCAAGGAACAGGCTCTTCACCATGAGTAAGTAATTCTCCTGCCCCCTAAAAGCTTCATAACTTAATCCATTTTTGTTCCGTTCTCCCCACCAGGCTACGACGACTCCTACGACCCGCCGGAGCCCAGCTACGGCCAGCCGGAGTTCACCACCAGCTACGACAGCGGCCCACCGGAGCCGAGCTACGGTCAGTCGACCTTTGTCACCAGCTACGACAGCGGTCCCCCGGAACCATCCTATGGTCAACCGACCTTTGTGACCACCAGCTACGACAGTGGGCCACCGGAACCGAGCTACGGTCAGCCGACCTTTGTCACCGGCGGCGGTCCCTCGACGGTGATCATCAACAACGAGAACATCGTCGAGCCGAGCTACGGCCAGCCGACCTTCATCACCACCGGAGGACCGGAGGTGATTCACACCCACTCCACCAACTACGTCACCACCCGTCCGGCGGTGTACGAAAATCGAACCACCTACGTGACGCGAACCAACAACGATGACTGCTGCTGTACCATCATCTAAATTTGGGATCCCCGAAAATTCTATACTTTTGTGATGTTTTACCAACTTCGATCTTTAATTCTTTTTTGCTATAAAGCTGTTGAGGAAAACTAATTTGGTTGGCTGTGTGTGAATTTGCTGTTTTATTGGCCGGTTTTTAACAAGTTGACAAGTGTTTGAAAGGTGTGTGTGTCACTGTGTGGCTTATTGAAATTGAATCACAATCGGAAAAAAAGAGAGCAGTTTTTGATTGGCAAAATGATCCTAATTATGCAAAGGTAGAAGAAACCAAATGGGAGGAAAAGAGGGTGTTGTTTTTGTTTTGTGGTCAGAGTTGTTGTGTTGATGCGATTGATTGTTAGATCGGGTGAGTGATTTTGTCAGTTATTTTGACGTCCCTTTTAATGAAATATCCTAGAGTGCCTAGTGCGACTGTACTCTGCTAAAGCTAAAGATGAAATTGGAAAAATGTTAAATTAAAAGTTGTGCCTAGCCTAAAGTGGTGTGAGAAAAAGTGTAAGAAAAATCAGGATAGAAAAAATAAACCTATCAAGTGGTCAAACAGTGTGCTTGAGAGTGGGCATGAAAAAGAAGGAGAAGAAGACAAATAAAGAAAGAGGAAACCAAAATGAAAGTCTCAGAAACAGAAGAAGAAATAGCAAAGCGAAAGATCACGAAACGAGAGTTTGTGTGTGCCTGTGTGTGTTCATGTGATTTCAGCAGAAAAATCATCGATCGGTGTTTGCTGTGTATGTACAAAAACAGAGAAATGCAAAAGGAGGGAAAGGTACGGTAACTACTGTACGACAGAACAGTGTAACAGTAGTAATCCTAAAAGCAGAGAATAGTGGAATTAAATAGTCAGAAAGTTAAAAAGTTGAAGCAAGTGACAGATTAAAGAGAGAGAGAGAGAGAGAGCGAGAAAGTTCAAGAGGGAGGGATCAAAATCTTATCGATTAGCAATAAAGGGATTGTTGTTGTTGCTGCTGTTCCCGCCACAAAGAGCGATTTGGTCTAGCACACACAATTTTCGTCACAGGGCGACAAAGTGTGTCAAGATTTTCAAGGTGGTGTGAACAGGTGTGCGCGGTAAGCAGACTCGGAGAGATATGAAAAGAGACGGAGGATATTTGAAGAAAAGAAGCAGAAGCAGAAAAAGAATATCAAGGAGGGCAATATCGGGAAATGCAATCAAGGAGCTGGAAGGTCAGCTGTTTCACGAGCCCCGTGTGTGACTTGCTGAAGAGAGGAGAGGAGCTTATTTTTTAACTGAAACCAAAGAAAAGTTCCGAATTAGTAAAAGTTGCAGCTTTTAACAGCACCAAAAAGCAACGGGGAAAGCAATGGCGCAATGGCAGCGGTCAGTGTTTCAAGCAAGAAGTACAGACATCTTCACAAACTATTTCCTAGCCACCACCACCACCGCCAACAATTCCTAATCACTACCAACTTTCTCATCCCTTTTCCTCCTCCTCCTACTCCCCAAAAGAATCCTTACCCCTCTGCCAGGAGAAGACCACTAGCAGGCCAAACATGGCCACTGCCGCTGCTGTGGCCACCGAAGAAAACGACAGTGAAAAGTGCTGCTGATGGAACCACTGCTGCTGCTGCTGCTGCTTTGACTGAGAATGTTTGCTGCTTGTGGTACGACAATGATAGACTGATCGGCGGGATTTTGCTTTGCGGTCTTTCCGAAGGAATCGTGAAAGTTTCCAACGAGAGAAGGGCGGAAGGAGGTGAAGGGGAATACGGTTACAAGAAGTTAGGGGAGTGTGAGAGAGAGCGAGCAAACGAAACAAACTACGAGTTGCAAACCAAAGTAGAGAACTCTAGAGCCTGCCCAATAAAGTAAAGAAAACTACCAAAAATATTAATAGAAAACNAGGGGAGTGTGAGAGAGAGCGAGCAAACGAAACAAACTACGAGTTGCAAACCAAAGTAGAGAACTCTAGAGCCTGCCCAATAAAGTAAAGAAAACTACCAAAAATATTAATAGAAAACTTGGCACTGGACTTGGAGGGAAGGAGCTGCAGAGTCAGAGAATCGGGTCGGTCAGTCAGTCAGTGAGACACTGCGCTCTGTGCCACCGCCGTTTAATTATCCACAAGAAAGAATCAGATAATAGTAAGTGGGAGAGAGCAATAGTAAAGAGTAGTAAATTCATTGAAAAGGATAAATTAAAAAAGAAGAGGAGACGGAGGATTAATAGAAGCTGAATATGTTTGCAGTGGTGGTAGTAGCAGTGTGTAGTGTAGTGTGTTGGGAGGGGGCGTGTTCAGGAGTAGTTGCGAGTGGGCGTGATGCAGCAGCAGCAGCAGCGGTGGTAGAAGGTAGTGTAAAAAAATCCCCAGAAAAAAGTGTAAAGTGCGTGGTGGTATGAATGAAGGAAAAAGAATAAGAGAAGAACATACAGCAGAGCTCCCAAGAGCTGAAGTGGGAGTTGCTGGGGAATCGGAGAGAGAGAGAAGTTCCCTAAAGCCTAAAGAACTTCAGACCCTCTGGAGCTAGAGAAGCTGCCAAGCATTCACCACCACCGCTGCTGCTACAGCAAAGAAAAGTCGCGCACACCTCTCTACTGCTGCTTGCACTCCTGAGGAACTTCCTTTTTGCCGCCGGCGCCGCCACCACCTCCTCGCTTACCTCCGCGCGACTTGGAGGGCTTTGAGGACGTCGGCTTCTTCGAGGCGGACTTGTCGCCCTCGCCGCCGGTCTCCTCCTCGTCGTCGTCCTCCTCCTCATCGTCGTCGTCATCATCATCCTCGTCGTACTCGTCAAAGTCCTCCTCGTCCATGTCCTCGTCGTAGTCGTCATCATCCTCGATGCCCTCGCCGGTAAAGTAGATGACGGCGCGGGGAATCACCGACTGGCGGAGCGTCTCGCCAATGTCAAAGTCGGAGACGAGCAGCTCGCGCGTGTCCTCGTCGGCCTTCTCGAGGCTATCTGTTTTGTGATAAAATGAATTCATTAGATTTCAAACCTAAACAAAGTCAGCCACAACACAACACTCACCTCTGGGCGGGTCAAAGAAGTTGAAGAAGGAGTCGACCTTCTCCAGCTTCTCGACGCTCTTCACCGTGTTGTCCGCCTTGTGCTTCAGCTTCTTCGAGATCTTCTTCATCGTCAGATTTTTCTCCGGCGACTTCCAGTCGATGGTGCAGCCGACGGTGTGGTCGATGATTAGCCCCTCATTCTGCAGCGGCTCAAAGGGGTCCACCTTGTCCGAGTAGAAGTACTCCTTGGTGAGCACCTTGTTGCTGAACCACTCGTTCTCGCTGAACTCAAACTCGAGCTTGAAGCCCTGTGGGAAACAGAACAAAGGAATTTGGTGAGTTAGAGAAATTGACGTGTACTAAAACAACTTGACAGTTCTGCTGACTAACGATCGATGGTGATGATGACATAGCACAAAATAGAAACAAACGAGAATGAGNCTTGAAGCCCTGTGGGAAACAGAACAAAGGAATTTGGTGAGTTAGAGAAATTGACGTGTACTAAAACAACTTGACAGTTCTGCTGACTAACGATCGATGGTGATGATGACATAGCATGAAAAAGAAACAAACGAGAAAGGCACTTACCCGAGGCTCCTTCAGCAGGACTGAGCGCACGTCAACGAGGTGGTTGAGCAGCGGCTCGTCCGTCTCCTGGATCATCTCGCTGAGAATGTCCAAGTTGTGGAAGATGATCGGCCAGAAGTGGGGAATGCCCTTGTCCTTGATCTCACTGGGCGGCGGGAAGCTCTCGTCGACGAACTCGTACTTGGTCTCCTCCTCGGTGGGCACGTAATCACCGGAGATGATCTTGCTGCGCTTCGCGTCAAACTCGCCCAGCTTCTCCTGGTACTCGGTGTGCAGGTCGTGCACCTTCTGGTGCAGCTCAATCTCCGCGCGGATGCGGTTCAGCTGCAGCTGCTTCAGCGCGTGCACCAGCTTCGAGTTGATGAGATCGAGGTCCACTGTGCAAAGAAAGATAAGTTAGAATCTGATCAAGAATTGCTACAAATCACGCTTTGTCGTTCCACTTACAGAGCTCCTTGGGCAAATCAGCGTTGTTCTCCATTGCGAATGTGTGGTTGGGGTGGTGGTGGTGGTGATTGGGTGATTGACTGAGGTGAATGAGAGCGAGAGCTTAGCTTGGGCTTAGCCGGAGAAGCTGAGAGCTACGAAGTTGTGGTGAGACAAGCAGCGTGTCGATCTAGAGTGGACGGAAGCAAAAGTGGAAATGAGAGATGGTAATGGTTATGATTAGTCAGCGGATCAACCAAAAAACACAGCTCAGCTGTACAACGCAACGGCAGAATTTCTAACTGCCTTAGGAAAAGACAACAAAAGAAGAGCACCGAAATCGGGAACAAGAGCTAACCTGAGGAGGGAGAGGACAGTGCAGACAGGTCAGTGCAGGACTGGTGTCTCGAAGAGAGGGCCTTGAAGAAGACTTCGGCCGGGTGGGAGCGAAGATGTCCGGGCAGAAGGAAGGAACAAGCGCGCAAGTCGTTGTACGGCAAATGTGCGACGATGACGACAGGATGCGATGGAAGAGCGAAGTGAAGTGAAGTGAGAGAGAGAGTGAGGCAGAGAGAAACAACGTGCTCGGCACGGCACACAATGCACTAGCAGCGACTGCGACTGAAGCGCCAGCGTGGTCTCGCCGCCACCGCACGTGGCACGTCCTCTCTGAACTGCGGCCACGTGGGCTGCCGACCACCGCTGTCAGTGTCCCCCACCGGAGGAAGGCGGAGCCTAAGCTGGCTTTCGCCTTTAGAGATCAGCGCCGCCCCTGGTGAGTGAAAGTGGCTTTGAGCGGGCGGCAGCGCCCTGCACCGTCCACCAGCGCCTGGCTTTCAAAGGATTGCGCGCGCACATGTGAAACGCAGCAGCAGCGTGATTCAGCAGCAGCGACAGCTGGTAACAGTTTGCGGTCTGCTCCTACAGCGAGTAAGGCGAGTAAGAGTGCAAAGATTCGGTGCAAGAAAATGAAACTTAAGGTTTAATTTCATGCGCGAAAATGTATCTGAAGAATCTGCCTATCTTTCCCAACATCTAAAGAATTGCCTTTGCAAGACACTGCTCAACTTTGAAGAATGATCACCTTTCACTCATTCACTGATTCAAGCAGTACACTGACACTGAAAGGATTGGATGCAGTGTAGGAGCAGCAGCAACGGCGATTTTCAGCCGTACAAAAGTGAGCGCCGCCATGGCTGCTGTACACAACAGCGTCGTACAAACGTTGCCATGAAACGCAGACAGACGCTGACTGACTGTCTGTCTGGTTACCGAGCAAAGCCGAGTTAACAACGACAAGAGAAGAAGAGAAAGCACTTACCAGAGAAAGAAGAAGCGTAGACAAAACAGATGAGAAAGTGTTTGGGTGAATTAGCGAGTAAGGGAAGAGTTGGCTTTGTTGCACTCTGATTACGAAGAATTTCAAAGACGGAAAAATCAACTCACAGAGGATCAAGAACACTGATTTGGCGGCGGTGGCTACGGTGATGATGATGAAGTTGTGATGTCGTCGATGTGAATGCGGCGGCGGCAAAGTCAAAAAGTGAATACAGCCAAATTGAGAAGAGGAAAAGGATCGTGGTCGTTTCGATGAAGGCAAAGCAGACGATGATGATGATGATAATGGCGATGATGATGATGACGATGTACCGATCTGCCGATAAAGCTGATGGGCAAAGGATTTTGCTGACGCTTGCACTTTTATATCCTACTCCACTTCACCTTCGCACTGGAGCCGAAGCGGCGCATTAATTGACGAGCAAATCGAACCACCAATCAAATCACCAGTTGATCAGCTCTGAGCTGGCTGCCTTTTGTTTGTGGGAAACGTGCCTTCGCAGGTGGCGCCCATTAATTTGAAAGAAAAGAAAAGGTCGAAAGGGGCAAACTGAACTGTTAATTGGCAACAAACTGTCTCAATCTCGAAACTCTGAAGCAATAACACTGCCCCTCCTAAAGGGTAAGGACCACTGGTTAAAATTATACAGAAAATGCTTATCAGCTGTGTGGCAATAACAAAGCGATTGGCCACTTGGTCGAGGGCTATTTTTAAACACCGTTTTGTACCCCACGAGCCGATATCTTGAACACTTTCTTACGCTTGTACTTTGGCTGCTGCTGCAGCTGTTGTTGTTGTTGATGACTCAGTGTACAAAATGTTTCAGTAAAAATGTACAACACTAGTACAACTTCTGCTGCTGTAGATAACAATCCAGTAAACGTGTACCTGAAATGACCACAGACAAGTAGGCCTCGAGATGAACGAAAGTGAGCAGCAAACACAAGAAAAACAACAGAAAAAAACAAGTCTTCAGAAAGTTCATCATCTTTTTCTTTTCAACCTCTTGCTTCGCTTCGTTATCATCATCGTCATCTCAGCCTTTCTCCTCCTTCTCCTCCTCCTTCTCATGATAAACAAAACCAGCATCAGCAAAACGACAACAACAAACAAAAACAGTAGAAGCGGTCCGGAGGAGAAGAAGGTCATCGAAGACGAAAACCCTCTCTTGTGCGTTATCAGCAAATCCGGGCCCACATCTTCTCTCTCCTCCTTCATCTGGGCCATCATCATCATCTGCCTGATGGGGGCGAGGGCCTTCTTGGCCGATTGGGGCAACGCCTGGTACAGCGCCTCCTCCTCGATGCCGGCCAGCTCCGGCGGCCGCTCCATCAGGTAGTGCCGGTACTGCTCCGCCAGGCGGCGCCGCTGAAGGAAGGGCAAGGCGATGCTGCCCAGAAGCTGCGGGATGAACGCCCACTCTTCCAGAGTTTGTTTCCAGTTCTGGGAACTTTGGTAGAGCTTGGAGCGGCTCAGCTGGCGGGCGAATCCGGGCCTGGGCATTAGGTTTAGGTTCAGCCTCATCGGCCTCATCGGCCTAAGGAGTGGCCGGTAAGGGCGTTTGTCCTCTTCGTCGTAGTCCTCGTAGTTTCCATTGAGGACCGAGTCGGCTTCATCATCGAAGTTGGAGAGGGAGTTGGTTTCATCATCATCCGAAAAAGAAGAGATGGAGGATGCAGTGGCCAAGTCCCAAGTTTTTGAGAGGTAAAGGAAGATTGTGAGTAAAAGTATTAGTTTTGAGCTGAAGGCGATCATCATCGTTGATATGCTTGGAAAAGTAGAAGACTTTTGCCTCGAACTTTTATTTTACAAAAGAAGTTTTTATTTCAAAACTTGTTTAGACATTTTTAGAACTCAAGAAATGGTTTTAACAATGATCAACTTTTTTGTTTTTGCTAGTGATAGAATAACGGTAAAGAGATCTCTGATCAGATAATAAATTTTTGGACCACTGATTTAGCTTTCCAGAAAGTTCTGGTTAACAGAGAGCAAAAAATGCTGCAATATCTTGATCACCGCTTGGCAGTGGTTGGTAGCAGTTCCCCTTATCACAGTAGGTAATCGCACTTCCTTTTTTTCCTCTTCTCCACAACCAGATTTTGCAACCTCCAGCTCACCAGTCCTTATCACGCTCCGAGCAGCAGCAGTTTGCCCTGAACAAACTGTACAAAGTGTTCTGAAACACTCGTTTACTTTCACTTTATCCGAAGTGACTGATAAGTGTGCTGATGCTGCCTCTTTTTTGTGTGCACATGTTCTTCTCTCATCTTCAGCATCATATCAACCTCGGTGAGATTTGTTCAGCAGCTTTGCAGACGACACTTTATACTCTCTTTATACTTGATATCTCTATATAAAACACTCTCACTTTCTTAGTTCACTGTACAGAGATAGAAGAAGAAGAAGAAGGTATCAGTGGCGGCCACCAAATCACCAGCATCAACTAGTTCCCACAACTGTTTCTGTTCAACACAGCCAAGTTTGTGTGTTCAGAGAAAGAACGAAGAAGATCACCAGAAGAAGGAAAAAGATGGCCAAGACGACTTACCAATTCATTCTGCTGGCACTTGTGATTCTCGAGGTCTCTCGCCAATGTTCCTCTCCCGTGGAAGCTGGTCCCAGTAAGTTTTGGGTTTTTTTTGTAGATCAACTAGACCATCTGGAAACTTTGAATTTAACTCAATTTTTTGTTATTTTTTCATCAGCTTTACCCGTCTGTGGCCGTCACGCCTCCATCGTCAACCTCTTCTTCCCCGACGAAAACTGCTACCCGAACTGTGCCCGCCCCACCGGCGGCACCTGTCGCAAGATCTTCGTCGGTGGCCGTTTCTGCGACTGCCACGACGGGTACATCTTCCTCGAGGGCGTGGCCGGGGACTGCGTCAGACCGGAGGACTGTCCGCCACAGACTAACAGCACAACTGGAGCTAACTAACTTGATAAGAAGAAGATCAGATCCGGTTGATAGCCAAAAGCTAACAAACACTTCAAAATGGCGGACTACCAAAAAGCATCACTATTGCAAGTATTTACTGCAGTAATTAAAGATAATGAAAGTACAGTAGAGGATATAGCATAGAAAATCACTTGCGCATTCACACACAACTCACACACACATTTGTTCATTTTTCTGCTGTACAAATGAAAAAGTAAAAATTGCTGAAAATTTAAAAGCAAAAATTCGATGACCAATTACAGAAAAAAACCCAAAAAAATCCTCTTAGGGACAGAAGGTCAGCCCGTAGCCGACCTTCCCATTGGCATTACTCTGGCAGATGAAAGTGGACTGCGAGTCATCGTACTTGTAGCTGTAGGCGAGCGGGCAGTAGGCCTTGAAGACCGCACTCGGATAGTCGACCTTCCACTCCGAGGAGCGACAGCGGTCCAGGCGGTCAAACGGGCCTCGACAGCAGAACTGGTCGCCGCCAAAGGCGGCACAGGCAGACTGGCAGC